TTTGCAACAAGTGGATATCACTTCCGATAATATTGTATTTTTATCAGTTTGCCTGTATCTGTACGAAAAAAATTAAGATTTTGGATATTACATTTTTTTAATGACTAATAATTGATATAATTATTTTATCAATTACATAAAGAATGATACGTCGAACGATTGTGTTTAGTGAAAATGTTCTATTTATTGAATTGCATGTGATATAAGTCAAGAAAATTAGAAGGTGCGCAACTTTATACAAGAATCTTTGAGGCTAAAATTAGCTTCTAGGGCGCAATGGCTTGTATAAATAAGAAAAGATCCTTGTACATTATTGAGACTTTTTTCTTCTTCTTAGATTTGAAAAGTACATTGCTGGCAAATATCTCGGTGAGGTGGTGCGCGTGATACTTGCGAAGTTGACCAAAGAGGGGCTTTTGTTTGTAGGAGAATCTACATCAGTCAGCCTCCTAACACCCGGTAATCTTACCACCGATTTGATATCGCACATCGAGCAGTAAGTTCACTCATATAAGTTTAAATTAACCGTTTGATCCGTAAAGTTTCGCAGTTTTACCTTTAATTTCGTGACTTCAGGGACTCTGTGGATGGCGGCGTCAGTAATACGAAGGAGATCCTTGGGAAATTCGGGATCATTCCGGACGAGGATGATATCAGAATCGTTCAATATGTGTGCGAGGTCGCCTCTAACCGCGCAACTCTTCTAGTGTCGATATGTACGTTAGTAGAGCCGCTTGAACGATATGATTTTAAACAGCGCCTGTGAAGCAAAGATTTAATAATTTCATCGATGATTTCTGTCCAAGGTCTTGCGAGTTTGCTAGATCGTATCGATAAGGAACAAGTGACAATCGCCGTAGATGGATCTCTCTACAAGCATCATCCTCGATTAGAAAATTGGATGAAGCAGTACATCTCACTTCTCGCTCCAGGACGAAAGGTATGTATAAGTTTTAAATCATGAAGCCGCTTCTTTGCTTAGAAAACATGCTGCTTAGATAAAGAGTTAAGAGAAAATTTCTACTGTATTATATCACAAAATACAACAGTGTTCTGCTTTTAAAGATAAGATTTCTAAACATACTGTTTCTGACAATTCGACGCACTTTTTTATTCTCTTTTTATATAGGAAACGATTTATTTTTACTATGTAAAAATTTACTTCTAACATACTTAATACTTTCTATGAAAGTTTTTTTTGTATAAATATATTTGTTCTGATCGTAGTTCAAAATAATCCACGCGGAAGATGGAAGCGGCAAGGGCGCCGCGCTCGTCTCAGCTATCGCACAAAGACTCAAGAAGCGGTTACAATAATCGCGAATAAATTTAAAAAAATAAACGTCCACCTGTCGTCGCAGTAACTATTATCATGGCGCAACACTACGCGAATTGCCAATAGTCATAGAAATATTCTGTCAGCAGGTTCTAATTCAATATTGTGGTAAATTCCCGTTATCCACGAATATATTACTCGCAATATTTAGATTGAATTTTAATGGATTGCATGCGTTTCGATTAATATCAATTTAGGCATTGTGAGATTATATCGGGATAGGTTTGCATCAACCTTGACGAAACAAAATGTCAAAAAGATAGGGATGTCGATCGTCTGGCCGACGCGGGAGGCGCGTGCATTGTTTTAAGGAAATAAATGTACGCCTGTGTCAAGTGCGTGGGAGAACGAATTACCGAGAGAATAATACGAAGAATGATATTATTTATTAAGTGAAACTGCAATGGGAACGTATGCGTCTGAGAGGTGAAAAGTTGTTGCGTATTGTAAACGTTTGGAAAACGTTCCTTTTTTGTACGAGAGAAATCAAGTTGTTATAATAAAAAGTTAGTGAAACTGCGATTCAGCTATTATGATGTTTTTTAAAAAGAGTTAATCGACTTTGTTAACCTGGGAACGAGCGTCTGATGTTTTCTTGCACAAATGGCCACCTGCTTGGCTGATTTTTCCGCCCCAATTAAAAGTGTTATTAATTACATACTGCATACTTTTAATTGTTTTATAATTTATTAATATTTGATAATCTATTTACAATATGTAAACATATTGCATGTATAAATAGATTTACTCAACATTTTTTGAAAAAAGTAAAGAGAAACAAAAAACCGAACGAAATACATTTTAAAAAATATAAAAATTACCTCAGATGCTCGTTCCTGAATTAATATGTAAAAATCTAGCCGGTTTAAAATTTTTCCCGAAAATAGAGAAAATAACGACTCTTATTTATCCAGTGCTTATCATAAAGTAAAGAATGATGAGTGAATATTAGACATGGAGTCATCGTAAATTGTCAAAATTGCGTAAAAAGTCTAATTCTAAGTCGTTTCCCATTTCAAACCGTTTCGATATTCAAACCGTTCGATGTCGCGCGGCCGCGCTCAATCCGGCCGCCATGACACTTTACGCGGCGCGTCACTTCGGAGTTACACGGCGCGCGATCGCTCCGCAAATAATCGCGAATTTTACCCGTTAGGAACGTACAGCGAGGCACATTTTCCTCAGGAATGCCAGGTTAAAGCGACGGGCTTTCGCCGGAACGTTTCGGTTGTCGCGGATCTTCGCGATCGACGTCGTTTCATCGACCGGGATCTCGACACGGCTGCATCGAGGGTACAGTTCCGGTGAGTTCAGATTTCAATGTCTATGTCCATTTCTAATAATGTAGATTAACTTTAACTTTAATTAGAAAAAGATAAAAAGTAACAAGTTAAAGTACCGAGATTAAAGTTAATTTGATAAAAATGAACATAAGAGAGAGAGAGAGAGAGACACTCGAATACGATCTTTACGTTTTTTCGCGCCGCTCTAAGCTCGATTGGCGTATTTCTCATTTGGCGCAATTCAAGCCCTAATTATACCGGCACGCTTAATAGAAAATCACGTCACCGAGTATATTTGATGTATAACGATGTATATGTGTATATGTTTGGTATATCGTCGCGAGCGTGCGACAGTTCCATCGAGAGATGGAACCGTGGTATTACTCATACAATAGATTTTCCATATAGCTCGATTGCGTGGAGCTAAATGGCACACGCGATTGTAATTAGCGATCGCGTTTATTTTGCGCGGCAGTCGCGATCGCCGTTCCTACTTGCTGAACGGAAGCGCGAAATCGCTAGATAATCGTTATGATTGCTACAAAATTGCCGTAAGAATAATCGTCTCTTTATCAGTACGAGCAAAATATATCCCCAGGTAGAACAGAAAGTCACAATAAAGTCAAAATGATGGCAAAATGATCCAAAAATCGTCATTTTGTGACTTTATTGTAACTTGCTGTTCTACCTGGAGGGTATTATAGTCCCTGCGAAATCTTTTTCGCAATTTTCGATTTACCATATCCTGATAGAAATATTTTACTCAAATTCTCTCAATTAACCCCATTTCATAATAATAGGATAATAATATAAGCAAAGTTCAATTATACTGTTGAAAAGTAATAACAAAATTTCTTTTACGTTAGTTATCATAAAATTCACTGAATTTAACTAAAGAAATTGAACTTTTATTGAAATATGATGGAACGACAATGAAATGGGGTTAATTGAGAGAATGATCAGTAAAATTATATGATATTTCAGTGAAATATTTCCATCAGGGTAGGCGGTCGTGGGGGGTCGGTTCGAGAGCGAGCGTCATTCGCGGGCTTCGAACGAGTTTGAAGCAGTTTGAAGTTTGAAGTTCGGCTTCGCGTCCGGCGACGGCAGATGGCGGCAAGCGGCACGAACGGGACGCTCGCTCGGCTACTCTCGCGCGGCGGAGAGAGTGACAGCTCGCCCGAGCCGAGCCGAGCCGCGGAGCCCGAACTGTCATCAGCGGTGCTCGCGCGCGCGTTACGTACCGTGATCCGCGTTTGCGTCCGTGCTACCGTGCCGTGCCGGTGACATACAGCGTGTCTCGCGCCGGCTACGCGGACGCGCCCCCGTCCTCAGTGTCACCAGTCGTACGCGTTACGAAATCGCGTGTTTTTTTCCTCCCCCCGTCGAAAAAGCCGAACGGCCACCGCGCACGGTGGGTGCGCACGCAAGGGAGAACGGCTCCGCTCCGCTCGCCGCCGCCGCCGCCACCGCCGCCGCCGCCGCGCCGGCTCGGCCAGTCTACTGGAAGATTCCATTGTGAGAGTGGGCTTTCGAAAAGTTTCGCGGATACCCGCCGGCGAGTCTTCGCGGATCGTCGTCGTCGTGCCACCGGGACGCCGTCCAGGTAGACCAGGTACCGTGTCTAACCCTGCCAACGTCGCTTTTTTCGCGAAATTCGCCGCGAGTGTGCGTACGTGTGCCGCATCCGCGATTGTGTGCGTACGTGGGTGTATGGGTGTATGTGTGTGCGCGCGTTGTAAGTGAGAGAAAGAGGGAGACAGGTTGAGGTTATTACAGCGGTCGCTCTCTCCTGGGTTCAGCTGGGCTCTCAGCTGATGCACCGACCGACCGGTTCGCCGCTACCGGAGTCGACTGTCGATTCCGCGAACGTGATGTACGGCGGCTACGGCGCTCGTTCGCCGTCGTTCGCCGACGATGACAGCCTCGGTTGATCCTGGAAGCGCCGATTCCCGGGGATTCGCCCCGTCCGCGTCCGTCGCGCGATCCGCGGCGCGGATTAAGTACGCGGCCGCGGGTAAATCGCACGTAAAGGAGGAAAATTCGGCTCGCGCGGCGCGGATTCGTGTGCGTTGATTCGATCGTACACGGCGATACGACCCCGCTCGCGTCGAAGGCACGGCAGGATCGGTGGGAGGGGAAGGGGGTTCGGTTAAACTAGGGTTAGCGCGAGCCGAGGTCGGCGGAATCGAACGCTTCTCGCACCTCGCATCCTCTGTCTGATGAATCGACTCGCGTCGGGTGACAACAGTCGCCTTTCGCGATCAAAGTGTCGGTTGTCCGATTGAGACACTCTCTAGTCTCTCGCGAGAGCATCGGATCGTTTTCGGTTACTCGTGGAAACACGTCATTCCTTTGTTCTCGAAATTGTCGTCCGTACCTCTCGCCGCTTAATAATTTAAAATATTTATATTTTTAAATTCCAAGACGCGCGTTCCGCGACAATTAAAATTCTCATGTAATGACTGTTGTCATTAGCGTGAATACTCGTTATTTAAATTTCGTTGTCGCCTGATTGCCGCGAGTCTCCAGTTTCGTACAGAGGCCTTTAATTTCCAGTGCCAAATCGTCCAAGTTCGCGTTTTAAATACGAACACTCGTGATTCTTTTAAAATGAGTGCAGACGAATATTTTTGTACGCGTATCTAGGCGAATGATAAATGATATCGAGAGAAAAGTGGTTATTGAATGATCAATCTAATTTTAACTGTCTTACAATTTGAGTAATTTTTATAAATGCACCAACATTAAATTTCTATTTCACTGCGCGCATCGTTTTTTCCTAACGCGATAACTAAAATTTTAGGAGAAAAATATGACTCAGATCTGTTATCGCGAGCGTGCATCTTTCCGCTTTTATCAAGAGCAGAAATAACTCTCTTTGCCCTCTTATAAGAATAAGTACGTGACACTTTGCACATCGGCGATTTCACCTCGCGAGATTTTCGCGACGCGTCGATTCCCAGCGCTGACCTCGACGACAGGTATCGC